TTTCTTTTCTAATAAGTGTCTAATATCCCTTTCGATAATTGTCCCCTTTTCATGTAATCATTAAACGTGCCCCTTATTTAAAGCGACTAAGAGCAATTTCCCCCAAAGTTCACTCGCTGCGCTCGCTCGCATTTAAAGATGATATAATTATGTTACTTATCAAAGGTCTTTTCAGTCTTCCGTTATGAGAATGTGCTTATAACCCCATCACGATTGGCTTTTTTCCTCTTTATAAGATGTAATTTTTCGCACTGCGACCTCACAGATCTCTAAAATTTTTCTCGCTTGCTTCGCTCGCTCGTAAATGCATATTGAGACATCACACCCAACTGTAAAGTATGATGCTTAAGCGATATCTTGTATGATGTATGAAGAGAAACAAATATTGAAATCATCCCTGATAATGTAATCACAATGTAGGGGTATATACCAATGTCTAAAAAATTGTATATTTTCGCTTTGAGATTTCCCACTGTAGGTGCCCTTTTTTTTCCAGAAAGTGCCCTTTTTTGTTGGTGCCCCCCCCACTTTGGAAGTCGCTCGGCCGCCCCTGTTTCGACATTTTAATTAAATAATGACCTACACCATTTTCAAGGTGAGATCTTATTCTTTACTCTCATATATGTCACATGCCAAAATAACATGTCTGTGTCTTATTATTATCTTAGATTCAACGCGAAAAAACGCGTCATAAATTATATGCAGGGCCCTGGGAACGATTTTTTCACCGGGGCCGCTGAGATATATATATATATACTGCGAATTTTTTTTCGCAACGACTCAGCCAGCCGCTGAATAAGCGGGGGGGGGGGGGGGGGGGGAGGGGAAGAGGGCATTTTTGTTTGTGTGTGTCGAATAATTTGAAAATTTTGTCCATCGGTATTTGGGGGGGGGGGGGAGGGGGGAGGTCTGTCATTTTAGTAAGGTAGTAAGCAGATTTTTTGGGGGGATCTCCAAAATTTTAATATTTGCACCCCCCCCTCCTTGAGCGTCAGGGGGGGGGGGGAGGGCCCAACCCCTAAAAAGGTAAAAATCACATGATTTTACATGATTTTTTTCTCAAGGGGGAGGGGGTGGGGCCCTGGCCTCCCCCCCCCTGGATCCGCCACTGTGTCAACGTACTCAACTGCCCATGTTGACTTCAATTAGAAATCTTTTAGATTGCACTCGCCGATATACATGCATGCAGGAAGTAGCACTAAGAACATGACAGACAAAGAAAGATAGGCCATTTTCGTAATGTAACCAAATTTAATGCACAGGTCTTTGTGAAGTGCCTCAATACAAATTATTTCATTCACCTGATAGGAATAATAGTATTTCAATAGTCAGAATGCAGCTATTATATTAAGTGTTGCTTGGTAGGTCAAGCCATAGGCCCGAATTCACAAAGCAAGGTTTGAGCTCAGACCAAGGTTTCAGAAGCGGATCTAGAGGGGGGGTTGGGGGGGTTGCAACCCCCCCCCCAAAAAAAAAAAATCCGGGGACCATTTTTTTAAATCTTATCTTTTTTTTAAAACTTGTAATTTTATTTTATTCTATTTCTATGTATTTATTTCATTTATTATTATTATTATTATTATTATTATTATTATTAGTATTATTATTATTTCTTTTTGGGGGGAGGGGGGGGGGGGTTGGGCGAACAAATGTCACAGAGTCCCTTGCCCCCCCCCCCCCATCAGCTTTTTTGAGGACACGGGCCACCGCCGAAGTGACAAGCTAGGCCAGCGTTGCCGATTCTCATCCCCAAAATCCCCACATTAAAAAAAAAAAAAAAAAAAGAAAGAAAAAAGAACGCACGCTGGAGAGAAACCCTTTCAAGTGCATATATTGTGAGAAGATATTCAACTCATCTGGTAACTTAACCAAACACATGATAACTCTGGATATAACTGTGTATTTAACTGTTACTTGATTTAAAAAGACGTTATCATGCACTGCTTTTTATGGTCTCCATTGTGTTAATAGATGCCAGGAAAACATCACTTACGGGGTTCGAATAAACACCCCAAAAAATCGGCTCGCCGCTTCGAAAAATGGCCTATTGCTATTATGTAAAAATGTAAAATGTAAAATGTAAAATGTAAAATGTAAAATGTAAAATGTAAAATGTAAAAATGTAAAATGTAAAAATGTAAAAATAAAAAATAAATAAATAAAAATGCATGTGACACCTGTTTTACACAATTCTACATAATAGCAGGGAAGGGATATTCCTTTGTCTACCTGAGGAACTGTATATTTTATGCGCACGCGGCATATACTAGTACCGTACTAGATTTATAGGAAAATCAAGGTTGAAGCATTCTCGATCGCCGACTGAGACGACGTGACGCACGCGCAGTGCCTTAAAATGACGTCACATGTTGCAGTCAAAGCTGTCAACGTGCAAATCTAAAAGTCCCTATTATCATATAGTGCTCGACAATAAAGAACCACAGTCTTGGTTAAAGAGGTCCATTTTAAAAAAAAAATTTAGTTATTTGTTTTAATTGACAGTGTACTATTAGATATCAGGTATATTGGATGCTCCGTTTCAAATACAGTCAAGACTGCCGAGCAATAAATTATCTCCTGCTTCTTGTCCTAAAACCATATCTTACTGGTTTTTAAAACGGTATCATTTGAATTTCATTTCCCAGCATTATTTTGAACTGTCCCTAAATTGTTTCCTAGTGAGACTACAGCCCCAGTCTATTCTTCTCCTATGGGGATATTGAAAGTGCCCAGACGAGGAGAAAGAAGCTCATCAGTACCTTCAGGAACAATACATCCAAATAATGCGGTCATTGTGGCAATGTCAGGAATGCTATTAGGCTACTACCTCTGGTAAAACTAATCGCTCGATGAATAAAGGGAGGGTCGGTTTTTTTTGTTGATGCCATGTCAGAAAGACCAGAGCCGAGTAGTTTGTTACGTAACAAGTGCAGGTGCAAGCTATCGAAAACAGAATCGAATAGCAAAGCTTCCCTATTCATTGGTGCCCTGTTATAGAATTCGTAGCATATACTGAATTGAATAGATCCGTGTTCTATTCATTATGCTATGTCAGGGTAGCGCATATTTCTTTTACACAACTGTTTAGCCATTTTGGCGAAAAAGTTCCAAGAAGTGCTCTGGTGAAAGAGTCTAAGTCGTCAGCGCAATATGTACAAGCACGTACACCCAGGGAAGGGAAAAACAAGGATAGTGGAGAGGATATGGAGAAGGAAAAACAAGGAAATACATAAGGAAAGAGAAGAGGATAAGTCAAAGGGAGAACATAGAAATACATAGTTGAAGAGCTAAGAGGATCATAGGCTAAGGAAAAACAGGGAAATACATAAAGAAGGAGAAAGGAAATCTATCAGTTTTAAACAAAGGAATAGATGACGAAAGAGAAAAGGATAGATTGAAGGAGAAACAAAGAAATACATAAAACAAAAGAGAAGAGGTTAGAATGAAGGAGAACAAAAAAATAAAATAATAACGAAGGAGAACTGGAGGATAGATTGTGGAAAAACAAAAAAACTAGATTGAAGATAAACTAAAGAAATACATGACAAAAGAGAAGAGGATAGATTGAAGGAGTACACAGAAATACATAATGAAAGAGAAGAGAGGATAGATTTAACCCGAAACAAATAACGAGTATGTACAGTACTGTGTAACACCAGGGGCGGATCTAGCTTTTTGCTAAGGGGGGGGGGGGGGGGTTGACCAAAATAATGACGATGCGGAGCATCGTCCACGAGCCGCGAAGCGGCTAGCCGATTTTTTTGGGTGGTTTATTTGAACCCCGTAAGTGATGTTTTCCTGGCATCTATTAACACAATGGAGACCATAAAAAGCAGTGCATGATAACGTCTTTTTAAATCAAGTAACAGTTAAATACACAGTTATATCCAGAGTTATCATGTGTTTGGTTAAGTTACCAGATGAGTTGAATATCTTCTCACAATATTTGCACTTGAAAGGGTTTCTCTCCAGCGTGCGTTCTTTTTTCTTTTCTTTTTTTTCTTTTTTTTCCCCCTTTTTTTTGTTTGTTTTTTTGGGCCGCCCAAGGGGGGGTTTAAACCCCCTAAACCCCCCGTAGATCCGCGCCTGGCAAGGGACTCTGTGACATTTGTTCGCCCAACCCCCCCCCCTCCCCCAAAAAGAAATAATAATAATAATAATAATAATAATAATAATAATAATAATAAATGAAATAAATACATAGAAATAGAATAAAATAAAATTACAAGTTAAAAAAAAAAAAAAATTAAAAAAAATGGTCCCCGGATTTTTTTTTTTTTTTTGGGGGGGGGGGGGGGGGGGGGGTTGCCCCCCCCCCCCCCCCCCCCCCCCCCCTCTAGATCCGCTTCTGAACACTGCTAAGGGTAATTAGAAAGCGGACAAAATATACAGTTCCTCAGGTAGACAAAGGAACATCCCTTCACTGCTATTATGTAAAAAGGTGAATATGCATGTGACACCTGTTCTAAACATTTGTACATAATAGCAGTGAAGGGATGTTCCTTTGTCTACCTGAGGAACTGTATATTTTGTCCGCTTTCTCTGTCAGTCATATTCATAGTGAATGCTAGACTCTGTCTTTAGTCGTTTGCACAGTATATTTGACTGAAGTGGTAAACAGTTGTGTAAAAAATGCGCGTCCCGCGCGCACGGGCCGTCTCTAGATCCTCATTCTAGAATTTTGCTGCTGACGACATGCATGACACAGCCACTCTCTTTGCTCTCGGTACTCTTCTTCTTGCAGTATAGTACAGTCCGCTGTTGGCGTATTATGGTACCTTGGCCTTGTGCTTGTCAAGTGCCGAGTGTACAGTGCAAGTAAAAAGGCTCTACAAGAATTCTATGTGCAGCTAAAAAACAGTCTGAAGCTCAACGGAGCTTGATGTGTTGCACCTGGCCTTCTGCTTGAAAAGTTCCAAAGAGGTGCAATCGACGACAGCAGGTGGAGTTCCACATACCCGGGAGTTGAGCTGAGCACCTAACAAGTTACAGCTATCATGGCTATGCTGAGCTTAGCTGAAGCACCAGTAGGCAGTAGACTAGAGATAATATAAGGTTTGTTTAGTCTATGTTTAGTCAGTGTCTCGTGTTTCCCTCTTCATTTCACCCATTTCATTTCATTTAGTGAAACGGTTGTCTCCGCCATCATTCACATAGATCTAGGGTCTAACAAGTTAGATCTAGATCTAGATCTAGATATCTATCAATCAGTAGACCTAGACTATTCTGTTCTAACTCACCACCTAATTTTACTTCATTGCCGTTGCGATTTTCTTTCGAATTTGCGCGTGGCTATATTTTTACGTTCTAGATCTATATAGGTCTAGATCTATATTGTCTTGTATTTTTCGTTGTGTATTTCATTGCTGTGCGGTAATTCGTGATTTTACGGAATTTTCCGTCGCACGTGTCACATTTTTGAAGCGTGGGCAGCCATTTTGTTTTTAATACATTATTGGTTCGCCGGGTGTAGCGGTGTATTGTGTTTACGTTTTCATGCGAGTTCTTGTTGTTGTTGTTTTAGTTTAAAGGCGTTTGTCATTCAGAAGTGAATATTTACGCCTCTTCTCTTAGGATTTTTATTCCTTTAAAATTAGATTTACTTTTTTTTTTATATAGATCTAGGCTAGACTTGAGTCTAGATCTAGGTCTATTCTAACAGTTAGATTTGGATAAATTGGATTTTTAAAAGCTAAAATTTTGTTTAATGTTGAAGAATTCAGTGGCTGGCGAGCAAAACTTAGAAGGCTTATTGGCTATAGCCTAGACTCTAGGACACCCAGGCCCAAGGACCAGCTCGGACACGGTGCGTTGTGACGGTGTTTGGTCAGGTCGCCTCCTATACGCAGTCGCCTCCTATACGCAGTCGCCTCCTAACGTAGTCGTCCCCAAATTATGTGGTCGAGTCGCCTCCTATACACACACATAGGAGCATCACTATCCTGACTGTGTAGTATAAGCTGTGCTTTTGATTCTCAACATTTCAAACACCACTGTACAAAACTCAACTGATTTCACTAAAAATCGGTACTTTAGTGACAATTGATGACACCTAAATAGCAGTAAAATACATTTTTTTTAACTTACTGATGTTAAAAAGAATAATTTAAAAATTCAAATTGTAAGTCTAGTGTCAAACTTTGCTTACAGCTGCATCGACATGATTGTGTACAGTCTATGCAATATTGTGTGGTGTGTGTATTTGTGTATGGGGTCTAAAAATACCCGCCTCACAGCAAGCATGCAGTGCTAGAGGTCAATACGCATTGGCTTTGACTCTCTATGCTTTGCTGGAGTGCCTATACACAGTCGCCCCCTATACACAGTCGCCCCCTACGTACAAAGGCAGTATGCTAGCGCAGCGGTCAGGAGCTATTTAGAAAAAGTTTCATTCTTTCTATTACTCTAGATAACTATTTTGTGCTAAAGTATAATGTGAGAAACGTTTCATTTTATTTTGATGCCACAGAGATTATGTATTACTCACTATAAAAAGCGAAACATATTGGGCTCAAATAATTATGTGCGGTGCAATTGGTTAGTAGGGGTATAGGTGTACCCTTTTAGTTCTAATTACGAAGTTGACCAGAGCCTGTTGGTGATTAATGTCTGTTGATTTCAGGAGTTATTGGGATTACTTTTTTGTTTTCTATGCCAGATTCTGTTATAAGCATGGTTCTTTCTATAAGAAAGAGTGGGCATTTGCATAAAAAATGTTTAACGGTTTCTTTTTCGTGCTCAGTTTGAGCAATGACCGATCTCATGTTGATTTAACTCAAATAGATTTTCATTTAAACCTAAGTTCCCCATTCTTAGGCGATGAAGAATAGTTTCATGATAATCTGTCGTTCAAGTAACATACAAATATTTTTGATAGTAGAGTTTGCGTTTCCCGTAGGGGGGGGGGGGGATCATGTTTCATTCCATCTTTTTTGCCATATCTCTATGTAGTATTTCTTTATAACATAATTTGATTCTGCTCTGGTAAGAGCATTGTTGATTTCTATATTTTTTTATTTAGTCCTGCTTTAGCAAACTTACAGTATCTGTTATATCATTGTGTTGTAGACCACAGTGACTGGGAATCCATTCGAAATTGACCTGGGTGCCCTTGTATTTTAGTTGACTACACATGGTCAAAATTTCAAGAATGAAAAATTCGTCTTTACGAGATTGTATGGCCTGGAGTGAACTCAAAGAATTAGAAAAGATGACTGCCCCAGTCTAGAGTCCTGGGAGTTGTAATAACCATGTTAGGGCAAGTATAATTGCGGCCATCTCTGCTCTATAAAGAAGATGTGTAATTAGCCAGTGTCTTAATTAGATTGAGAAACATCATAATAAGGTACATAAAATGCAGCAGCAGCAGAGTCTTTATCTGGCGATCTTGATCCATCTGTATATATTAGTGCTGTAGTCAAACGTTTAACCGTCCGGTATCCGACCGCCCATGGCGGATTCCGTTTTCAATTGGACGGTTTCGTTTTCCCGATTTTTTTTTTTTTTTTTTTTTTTTTTTTTAATATTTTTTTTTTTTTTTTTTTTATAATTTTTTTTTTTTTTTTTTTTTTTTTTTTTTACTTTTTGACTGGCGGTTAAACGGAATTGGAGATATCCGTGATGTTACAGCACTAGTATATATGTGTAAATAATTTTTCCATTTCAAATTTATCACTTCTAGGGCTGCTTGTTTTTGGGCAAAACAGATATCTGTTTTCGTTATTACCTCTTTTAGCTCAGATGACACATGGGGAGAGAGCATTTTCCAAAAGGGTGTGTTGAAAAAATACTTCATTGGATCTTCTAGTATGTACATGTAACTGAATTTTAATGCACAATCCTTGGTTCTACGTCCAAAGGCTAATCTAGAGTTAGTACCTCCAAGAATATTAAATTGCCAACAATCTTTCACATCTTCGTTCAGGGGGTGTTTGAGCATACTCTCGATTCTTTTTCTTAGTTTAATTGATAACATTTCTCGCCTTAAATCAAAAGGCATTTCGCCTAGTTCGACTTGCAGCGTTTTAAGGAATGTACCTTTCCGAGTGCCTGCACAAACAAATAACGATTGGTACTGTGTTCAACATATTTTTTTGCGCTTGTGGTAGCCGAGTTGTATGCTTCGCAACCATAGTCGATAATTGATAGTATTTATGCTTTATATATGATCACTAGTTCTTTAGCATCTCCAGACCACTTGGCGTATGCTAGACTTTTGATGACATTAATTCTACCTTTACATCTTTCACTAATATCTAATAAATGTGGCCTCCAAGTCATCCGTTTGTCAAATGTGACGCTGAGATACTTGTGCTCTTTATGTGGTGTCAACTTTTGACCTCTTATATAACTCGTAGTTATCATCATTTGAACTGTTTGAAAATAAGATAGGGGTCATTTTCTCTACCGACATAATAAGTCCAAATGGATTGACCCAGGAGTTCAAAGAGTTTAGATATTGTTGTATGTTCTGGATATTTTGTTTTACATCATGGCCCGATTCCCAAATTACGATGTCGTCTGCATAAATCAAGCTATGTATATCTGGTCTCAAAGGTATGTCACTTATCATTATATTAAAAAGGAGGGAGCTCAAAATGCTACCCTGGGGTAACCGTTTTCAGGATGTGTAATTGCCGATTTGGCATTACCTACATGTATTTGCACTTGAAAGGTACGGTTCAACAAGTAGTTTCTCAAAAAAGTCAATGTTTCCTTGGAGACCAATTCTACGTAATAAGGCTGTGACGGGTAGTCGAATGCTCGAATACCCGCACGGTTGACAACTACTCGGGTACGATTTCTCGTACCCGAATATTCGGCCGCAAAAAAAAAAAAAAAAAAAAAAAAAAAAATGTCCAGGCCCATGCTTACCTGTGCCAGGGAGAGCGGCGTCCGCTGGCATGGTACCGTCGGTAAAAATGTTTCCCAACTCAAGCACTGTCAAACTCACCTTTCAGAAACTGGGACCAAATGTCCAGATTTCTGTTTGGACTTGGAGGAAAATGGATTATTCTGCCATCTTTGGTTTTTAAAACAGCATTGTTTACTGTTATTATTCTTATACTGCAACTCAAAGTAAAGTTGCATGCGTTTTCAGCGAGGGACCTGAGAAACTGCCGAGTGGTATGGTAGTGGCAAAAAAATCAAAAAAAATCAAAAAATCAAAAAATTAAAAAAAAATCAAAAAAATTCAAAAATAATTCAAAAAAATTATAAAAAAACATGGCGTCCTAATATTCGAGTATTCGCCTGTGAGCCTGGGAGTGTACTCGGGTACCTCATTACACTGTTGAGCACAGCCCTACTATGTAACTTGACAATTAATCCTTACTGTCGTCCAGTGAGTATCCTAGGCTTTGGCCAGATCATTAAATACGACTATGGTTTTCATACCCACAAATAGATATTTCTGAATTTCATTTTCTAAATGTACTAAGTTATCTACTGAGCTTCTCTTTTTTCTAAAACCATGTTGTATACTACTCAAAATTTCGTTTTTCGTTATGAACCATTCTAATCTCTCCTTTACCATACTTTCAAATATCTTGATAAAGCAAGGTAATAATGAGATAGGTCGGTAGGATGTTAGTTGGGAGGAGTCCTTAATTGGTTTTAATATGGGTATCAACATTGCGTGTTTGCATTGTTCCGGAATCGTCCTAGAAGACCATATTCTGTTATAAAGACAGAGTAATGTTTTCCTAGCCCTGGTTGGAAGGTTTTGAAACACAGTATATCAAGCCATCTTCACCAGGGGCTGAAGTCTTTTTTTATATTAAGTACTTTTTCGAGTTCCATCATGGTAAAAGGTTTATTGATAACTGAATCATGTTCTCCTTTATAATCAATAGATTTATATTCATCTAGCAAATCTTTATTTCCCTTTTTTGTTTTACTACTGGTCTTCAGAAAATGCTTTCCAAATTTGTTAGCTTTTTCTTGATCATCTATAATTAGGCCATGTAAAAAAAATATACATGTTTAGCGTCCCCGCCCGCTTCCTTTTTGGGGGCCGCCTCCCTTTTGTTTTTTGTTCTTTTTGTTGAAAATTT